GCCAGGAGCCCCTAGTAGCGTCCTTGCTCCTAGTAGCGATGCCAGGAGCCCCTAGTAGCTTCCTTGCTCCTAGTAATGTGGCCTAAAGATCTCCTAGTGATGTTTGTTTGCCATTGATTTGTCGTGTGTTGGGGGCGTGCACGGTGTGCAGGTACTTCATTGGACCAGTTACGGGTGATGTTTTTGGAGACTTTGCATGCCCCGCATGGGACGGATGCTACCAGTGCCTCTGCAAGTTGTTTTGGGGTTTGGTTCCAAGCTTGTAGAGTCCCTGCCATGAGATTTGATGTGTGTCTCAAGTTGGTGCGACTTAGACACAGAAGACGGACCGTTTCTTTGAGCCCACTGCAGGTTTTGGGGTGTGCAGGCGTTGACCCAGGGATTCTTGCTGCTGAGGTCATATCCGGGCCTCCAGGATGGGTACCGTTGATGGGTGCCATTTCCCTGCCGGGCTGAGTGAAGACTGGTGAAAATCTCTCACACAGAAGTTGAACGGGTAAGGGCATCCATGTTTGTGTGGGTGTGATTTTGTCACCTCCAACTGTCCTGGAAAGGTAGCATTTGGCTTCGGGAGATTCAGGTTTGATCAGTTGGGATTCCAAGTCGAAATGCAAAAATCATGGTGTGGTGGACATGTTGAAGCTTAGTCCTGCTTGAGAGATAAAGATCGGCAAGTTTTGTGTTTGTGTTTGTTCTTTTTTTGCAGTGTAATCTATGTTACTCGTATGTGGCAATGCAATGGAACTCCATGCCACCGACCACTATTGACTATTTGAGGGAATCGGCCAAGAGATACCAAAAACACAGGCACTGGCTCAAGATAGCTTAAGCCAAGCTACAGCGGGCATTGCAATGTGTTATGAAGATTGCCCCAGGCTGTCAGAGGCAAAGGGGTAGTGCACTACTGACATCCCACTTCTATCCCTGCGCGGCCCGGGACTACTGTATTCAGGTCATTGTATAATGGTCTATATCTCTTTGTACTGTGTATATATGGGAATGGATCATTCTTGGACTCGCCCCAGAAATCAGTACCTTTCTACCTGTAATCATGGAAGATGCACGAACTCCAGCGTGAGTGATCGAGGAGTTCAGCTCCATGGTCGAGCTTCTCGAGACATTGCGAGATGCAGAGCTGTTGGAGATATCCAAAATCATGAGGCCGTCGTGGATTGGCATTGGTCGGTGCTGTTCAAGCGGAAAAGAGGCAATGGATCCAAAGGCAGAATCTCAGCACATGGATGTGCGTCAAGTTCGCCCTCATTCCAAATCACCTTTTTGGAAAGGACCATTTGTTAGTTTTGCTCCATAGCCTATACTGGGTGTTGCAGATCGAAGCGGGACCAGTGATTTCAAGCACCACTAACTATGAGCCCAGCAATCAACGGAGTCCCGTGAGTCTCGCGGGAACAGCATGTTTGAAACATGTTTGCGCCAACAGCCGGTGAACAACCTAGAGTCGAAACATTGGATCACACGTGTGTGTGTGTGTGTGTGTGTTTTTAGTTAAACAGCCCTTTTTGCTGTTTGAATAGTTGTTTGACGCCAGACAGTGCAACATCACAAAAGTTGCACTGGTATTGGAGCTCCTTCATGAAGCACTGCGGCCTCCTTCTACCAGGTTCCCACTGCATACTTGCCGTCCAAAACTCCACGACTTTGTCCCAGGCGTTTCCGCGCCCAGCTGTGGAAAACCACGCGAGAAGTCTATGCAGCAGCGGGGAATCTCAGGTCTCGGAATGTACTGGCATGGAAGGACACTCAAGTACTGCAAATTAGCATGTTGATGTACCCAATAGCAAGTGCCTCCAACCTAGAAGCGATGTCCTCCAACCTAATAGCGATGGCATCCAACCTAATAGCAATCGCCTCCAACCTAATAGCAAGTGCCTCCAACCTAGAAGCGATGGCCTC